CGGCGAGAGCGGCGGAGGGAGCGGTGGCGAGGCGGGCGGCGGCGAGACAGGCGGGGCTGAAGGAAGCCCTGGCGGCGAGGCGGGCGGCGGCGAGAGTGGCGGAGGGAGCGGCGGCGAGGCGGGCGGCGGCGAGAAAGGCGGAGCTGAAGGAAGCCCTGGCGGCGAGGCGGGCGGCGGCGAGAGAGGCGGAGGGAGCGGCGGCGAGGCGGGCGGCGGCGAGAGAGGCGGGGCTGAAGGAAGCCCTGGCGGCGAGGCGGGCGGCGGCGAGAGCGGCGGAGGGAGCGGCGGCGAGGCGGGCGGCGGCGAGAGAGGCGGGGCTGCAGGAAGCCCTGGCGGTGAGGCGGGCGGCGGCGAGAGCGGCGGAGGGAGCGGCGGCGAGGCGGGCGGCGGCGAGAGAGGCGGGGCTGAAGGAAGCCCTGGCGGCGAGGCGGGCGGCGGCGAGAGAGGCGGGGTCTGCATTGGAGGCTCTGATGGTGGAGGCGGCGTCATTGGCCAGGGCGGTGGCGCTTGTGAAGGTGATGGAGGGGGCGCTTGGGACGGCGGTGGAGATGGTTGGGGCGGCCGTGGTGGTGATGGCGGCCGTTCCTGGCGCGGCTGCTCACCATCAGACCGAGTGTTGATTCTGGTTTGGGGGAGTGCGTTCCCAAAGATGCCCGTGAGGAATGCAGTAAAAATACCCGTCGCAGCAGTCGCACCGAACGTTCGAAGAGCGGTTTTGGCGACTTTTTTCCCAACACATTTCAATCGATTGAAGATGTTGCCACGCCTGCACCTGCGACGACCACCACCGCTACTTGTTTCGCTTGGAGGGAGCTCGCTCTCTGGTAGGTTATCAAGAAGGTTGTCGGGAGGAAGTTCGTCCTCTGGGATCTCTTGCCCAGTTTCCTCATCCATCCAGACATCCTCGGTTGCACAGCTTGGTGGTACATCGTCACAGTCGTTTGGAAAGTCCTCGCACCATTGCATGGCGCAGGCAAGGGCAGTATCACACGTCAACTCCGCACCCTCGTCTGGACATTCACGTGTGGTCGTACAAAAGTCGTCTTGGTCATGCTCATTGTCGATTGCTTCATTCAAGGCTGCGCATTCAGCGAGCGTGGCGAACAATTCGACGAGTTCGAACCCGGGTTGCAGAGGCTGGGGGGGTGGGCTGGGCGGTTGCCGTGGAGGGTATGGCGGGAGCGGCGGCGAGGGCGGCGACTGTGGTGGGGAGGGTGGCGAGGGCGGTGACGACGGCGGTGTGGGCGGCGACGTCGGAGGTGATGGCGACAGCGGCGGAGAAGAGGGGCACGGTGGTGAGGGAAGCGGAGGGGGTGATGACGTCGGTGGTGAGGGCGGCTGTGGTGCTGGCGTTCCGTGACCCTGTTCGTGCCTGTGTCCCGGCCCCTTTCCTTGTGTTTTTCTGCTTT